CTGACCCCCTCTCCCCCACTGGAACACATTTTTTTTTTATCATCATTATCAGTCTTCCCTGATCCACTCTCCCCACTGTAACAACATTAGCATCATTATCAGTCTTCTTTCCCTGATCCACTTCTCCCACTGGAACACATTCATCATTATCAGTCCTTCCCCTGATCCACTCTCCCCCACTGAACCCACATTAATCAATCATTATCATTCTTCCCCTGATCCACTCTCCCCACTGGAACACTTATCATATTATCAGTCCTCCCTGATCCCCACTCCCCACTGGAACACATTTAATCATCATTAATCATTCTTCCCTACCCCACTCTCCCCCAACTGGAACACATTAGGCACATATCATTCTACCCTGATCACTTATCCCCACTGGAAACATTATCATCATTATCATTCTTTTTCCTTTCCCCCCCCCCCCCCCTGGACCCCTCTCCCCACTGGAACACATTATCATCATTATCGTCCTTCCCTGATCCACTCTCCCCCACATTATTATCAATCAAAATTTTCCCATTACAATCTTCCCTGACCCACTCTCCCCACATTATCAATCAGTTATCAGTCTTCCCTGACCCACTCCTCCCCACTGAACACATTATCATCATTATCATCTTTTCCCTGATTCCCACTCTCCCCACTGGACACATTAGCAAATCAGTTATCAGTCCTTCCCTGATCCCACTCTCGCCACTGGAACACATTAGCATCATTATCAGTCTTCCCTGACCACTCTCCCTCTCCCCAAATTAATCATCATTATCAGTCCCTCCTGACCCACTCTCTCCTCCACTCTCCTCCCCCACTGGAACACATTTTCATCATTATAAGTCTTCCCTGATCCACTCTCCCCACATTATCATCATTATCAGTCTTCCCAGACCCACTCTCCCCACATTATCATCATTATCAGTCTTCCCTGACCCACTCTCCCACATTATCATCATTATCAGTCTTCCCTGACCCACTCTCCCCACTGGAACACATTATCATCATTATCAGTCTTCCCTGATCCACTCTCCCCACATTAGCATCATTATCAGTCTTCCCTGACCCACTCTCCCCACATTATCATCATTATCAGTCTTCCCTGACCCACTCTCCCCACATTATCATCATTATCAGTCTTCCCTGATCCTCTCTCCCCACATCAACAAATTATCAACATTAAACCATTATCAACATTAACCCTTTACACTCGTGATAATTGGCCAATATGGATAGGGCTAAATTGAAATGTTTCTTACAGAAGAAATATGAAAAACATATGCATTAGCGTGGTAGCAATTGAAAGGGAACAGTTTGGATATTTTATGAGAAAATGATTAGAGCAAAGGTGAGAACACAACAAAAATATTTACAAAAAATCTACAAAAAAAATCATCAACAACAACAATTTAGGCCCTTATCAGTGAGCTTATCACGCCCCCAATATGCCATTTTCAACCCATATAGGGGTTCGAGTGTAAAGGGCTACACACACACGATCAACATTAAACCATTATCAACATTAAACCATTATCAACATTTAACCATTATCAACATTTAACCATTATCAACATTTAACCATTATCGACATTAAACCATTATCAACATTAAACCATTATCAACATTAAACCATTATCAACATTCAACCATTATCAACATTAAACCGTTATCAACATTATACCATTATCAACATTAAACCATTATCAACATTATACCATTATCAACATTAAACCATTATCAACATTAAACCATTATCAACATTAAACCGTTATCAACATTAAACCATTATCAACATTAAACCATTCTCAACATTAAACCATTATCAACATTAAACCATTATCAACATTAAACCGTTATCAACATTGAACCATATCAACATAAAACCATTATCAACATTTAACCATTATCAAATCACATTTAAACACATTATCAACATTTAACCATTACAGACATTAAACCATAATCAACATAAACCATTATCAACATTACAAAGCCATTATCAACATTACCATTAATCAACATTAAACCTTATCACATGATTACCATTATCACCATTTAAACCATTCATCAACTAACCCATTATCAACATAAAACCGTTTCACATTAAACCCATTATCACATTAACCATTCTCTCACATTAACCATTATCACATTACAACCATATCACAACATTAAACCAGTATCAACATTAAACCGTCATCACATTAAACCATAATCAACATAAAACCGTGACAACATACACCATATCAAATTAAACCATTAATCAACATTTAAACCAATTATCAACAGTAAACATTATCAACCATTCCCATCATCAACATAAACCATCATCAAAACATAAACCCATTATCAACATAAACCATTATCACATTATCAACTTCCTTATCCACACTAACCATTATCACACATTATCAAACATTTTCACAACCATTATCAACATAACCATTATCAACCCGTTATAATAACATTATCAACTAACCGTTATCAACATTAAACCGTTATCAACATTAAACCGTTATCAACATTAAACCGTTATCAACATTAAACCATTATCAACATGATCAGTCTTCCCTTGATCCACTCTCCCCATTGTAACACATTATCAATATTTTCAACGTTATCAACACCATCAACCGATATCAAACATTCCTAACCAAAGTCAACCCCGAATTAATGCGTTATCGACATTTCAAGGCAAACTGCATTACTGCTGCAGTAACAACATTATCAGTGTCATCACTCCCAGTAACGGTGCATTATCCCTCTACAGCGCCTTCAGGAAGTATTTACACCCCTTTCCTTATTCCACATTTAGTTGTGTTTCAGCCTGAGTTCAAAATGGATTAAATGGCTGTTCTTTCTCTACACACAATTTTTACATTTTAGTCATTAAGCTCTTATCCAGAGCGACTTACAGGTAGTGAGTGCATACATTATTTATTTATTTAAATACTTTTTCATACTGGCCCCCCGTGGGAATCAAACCCACAACCCTGGCGTTGCAAACGCCATGCTCTACCAACTGAGCTACATCCCTGCCGGCCATTCCCTCCCCTACCCTGGACGACGCTGGGCCAATTGTGCGCCGCCCCATGAGTCTCCCGGTCGCGGCCAGCTACGACAGAGCCTGGATTCGAACCAGGATCTCTAGCGGCACAGCTAGCACTGTGATGCAGTGCCTCAGACCACTGCGCCACTCGGGAGTATTACAATACCCCATAATTACATGGTTTTTGAAATTTGAGCTAATTTATTGAAAATGAAATACAGAAATATCTCATTTACATCAGTATTCACACCCCTGAGTCAATCCATGTTAGAATCCCCTTTGGCGGCGATCACAGCTGTGAGTCTTTCTGGGTTAGTCTCTAACTGCTTTCTACACCTGGATAATATTTGCCCATTATTCTTTAAAAAATGATTCAAGCTTTGTCAAATTGGTTGTTGATCATTGCTAGACAACCATTTTCAGGTCTTGCCATAGATTTTCAAGTAGATTTAAGTCAAAACTGTAACTCGAACATTCACTGTCTTCTTGGTAAGCAACTCCAGTGTAGATTTGGCCTTGTGTTTTAGGTTATTGTCCTGCTGAAAGGTGAATTCATCTCCCAGTGTCTGGTGGAAAGCAGACTGAACCAGGTTTTCGTCTACGATTTTGCCGGTGCTTAGCTCCATTCCATTTCTTTATTATCCAGAAAAACTCCCCAGTCCTTAACAATTACAAGCATACCCATAACATGATGCAGCCACCACTATGCTTGAAAATATGGAGAGTGGTACTCAGTAATGTGTTGTATTGGATTTGCCCCGAACATAACACTTTGAATTCAGGACATAAAAGTGAATTGCTTTGCCACATTTTTTGCAGTATTACTTTAGTGCCTTGTTGCAAACAGGATGCATGTTTTGGAATATTTTTATTCTGTACTGGCTTCCTTCTTTTCACTCTGTCATTTAGGTTAGTATTGTGGAGTAACTACAATGTTGTTGATCCATCCTCAGTTTTCTCCTATCACAGCCACTAAACTCTGTAACTGTTTTAAAGTCACCATTGGCCTCATGGTGAAATCCCTGAGCGGTTTCCTTCCTCTCCGGCAACTGAGTTAGGAAGGACAGCTGTATCTTTGTAGTGACTGGGTGTATTGATACACCATCCAAAGTGAAATTAATAACTTCACCATGCTCAAAGGGATATTCAATGTTTTTTTGTTTTTTTTTACCCATCTACCAATAGGAGCCCTTCTTTGCAAGGCGTTGAAAAATCTCTCTGGTCTTTGTGGTGGAATCTGTGTTTGAAATTCACTGCTCGACTGAGGGACCTTACAGATAATTGTATGTGTGGGGTACAGAGATGAGGTAGTCATTCAAAAATCATGTTAAACACTATTATTGCACACAGAGTGAGTCCATGCAACTTATTATGTGACTTGTTAAGCACATTTTTACTCTTGAACTTATTTAGGCTTGCCATATCAAAGGGCTTGAATACTTTTTGACATTTAAGCTTTTCATATTTAATTTGTAAATATTTTGAAAAACATAATTCCACTTTGACATTATGGGGTATTGTGTGTGTATAGGACAGTGACAAAAAAATGCTCAATTTAATCCATTTTAAATTCAGGCTGGAACACAACAACATGTGGGAAGAAGTGAAGGGGTGTGAATACTCTCTGAAGGCAGTGGGTCTGCTTCCATATAAGGAGTGTTAGGCTGAGAACAGATCAGAACTCCTAGGTTCTAGTGTTAGGCTGAGAACAGATCAGAACTCCTAGGTTCTAGTGTTAGGCTGAGAACAGATCAGAACTCCTAGGTTCTAGTGTTAGGCTGAGAACAGATCAGAACTCCTAGGTTCTAGTGTTAGGCTGAGAACAGGTTCTAATGAAGGCACTATAGTATACATTATCCCCACTACAACACATTATCTGTGATATTCTAGTATTCTTATGTATTCCATAATTTATCAACATTATCACAACATTATCACAACATTATGTTGACGTTTACCTGATAATGATACACTGGTTGTGTTTAGCATCCATCATGGTGGTGTAGGAAACATTGGCGATGGCAAACAGATGACTAGGAGAGAAGAGAAGACAGAGGAGAGAGTTAAACTATACTGTCTAACCCATACAATATAGAGAGAGGAGAAGGGAGTGTTGTAGTTTATATATGGTGTAGGAAATACAGTAGTTACATCTCTTCAGACTCAGACTACAGATAAACAGAGTTAATCACAACATGACGGACACGGAGCCAGGGTTAAACATGGGTACATCTCTGTTGCTAGGCAAGAACTTAATTGGTTCCTCTCACTGGTGTAGTTACTGCCCTGCCTGGTATACATTTGAAGTCGGAAGTTTACATACACCTTAGCCAAATACATTTAAACTCAGTTTTTCACAATTCCTGACATTTTAATCCTCGTAAAAATTCCCTGTCTTAGGTCAGTTAGGATCACCACTTTATTTTAAGAATGTGAAATGTCAGAATAATAGTAGAGAGAATTATTTATTTCAGCTTTTATTTCTTTCATCACATTCCCAGTGGGTCAGAAGTTTACATACACTCAATTAGTATTTGGTAGCATTGCCTTTAAATTGTTTAACTTGGGTCAAACGTTTCGGGTGGCCTTCCACAAGCTTCCCACAATAAATTGGGTGAATTTTGGCCCATTCCTCCTGACAGAGCTGGTGTAACTGAGTCAGGTTTGTAGGCCACCTTGCTCGCACACGCTTTTTCAGTTCTGCCGACACATTTTCTATAGGATTGAGGTCAGGGCGTTGTGATGGCAACTCCAATACCTTTACTTTGTTGACCTTAAGCCATTTTACCACAACTTTGGAAGTATGCTTGGGGTCATTGTCCATTTGGAAGACCCATTTGCGACCAAGCTTTAACTTCCTGACTGATGTCTTGAGATGTTGCTTCAATATATCCACATCATTTTCCTTCCTCATGATGCCATCTATTTTGTGAAGTGCACCAGTCCCTCCTGCAGCAAAGCTCCCCCACAGCATGATGCTGCCACCACCGTGCTTCACGGTTGGGATGGTGATCTTCGGCTTGCAAGCAACCACCGTTTTCCTCCAAACATAACAATGATAATTATGGCCGAACAGTTCAGAGGACATTTCTCCAAAAAGTACGATCTTTATCCCCATGTGCAGTTGCAAACCGAAGTCTGGCTTTTTTATGGTGGTTTTGGAGCAGTGGCTTCTTCCTTGCTGAGCGGCCTTTCAGGTTATGTCGTTATAGGATCTACTTACTGTAGATATAGATACTGTTGTACCTGTTTCCTCCAGCATCTTCACAACGTCCTTTGCTGTTGTTCTGGGATTGATTTGCACTTTTCGCACCAAAGTACGTTCATCTCTAGGAGACAGAACGCGTCTCCTTCCTGAGCGGTATGACGGCTGCATGGTCCCATGGTGTTTATACTTGCGTACTATTGTTTGTACAGATGAACGTGGTACCTTCAGGCGTTTGGAAATTACTCCCAAGGATGAACCAGACATGTGGAGGTCTACAATTTTTTTTCTGAGGTCTTGTCTGATTTCTTTTGATTTTCCCATGATGTCAAGCAAAGAGGCACTGAGTTTGAAGGTAGGCCTTGAAATACATCCACAGGTACACCTCCAATTGACTCAAATGATGTCAATTATCCTATCAGAAGCTTCTATAGCCATGACATCATTTTCTGGAATTTCCAAGCAGTTTAAAGGCACAGTCAACTTAGTGTATGTAAACTTCCGACATCAACTGTATGTGACTGACCAGGTTTAGAACCATCCATAATGTGACTGACCAGGTCTAGAACAATCCATAATGAGACTGACCAGGTCTAGAACCATCCATAATGTGACTGAGCAGGTCTAGAACCATCCATAATGAGACTGACCAGGTCTAGAACCATCTATAATGAGACTGACCAGGTTTAGAACCGTCCATAATGAGACTGACCAGGTTTAGAACCATCCATAATGAGACTGACCAGGTTTAGAACCATCCATAATGAGACTGACCAGGTCTAGAACCATCCATAATGTGACTGACCAGGTCTAGAACCATCCATAATGTGACTGAGCAGGTCTAGAACCATCCATAATGAGACTGACCAGGTCTAGAACCATCTATAATGAGACTGACCAGGTTTAGAACCATCCATAATGAGACTGACCAGGTTTAGAACCATCCATAATGAGACTGACCAGGTCTAGAACCATCCATAATGTGACTGACCAGGTCTAGAACCATCCATAATGTGACTGACCAAGTCTAGAACCATCCATAATGTGACTGACCAGGTCTAGAACCATCCATAATGTGACTGACCAGGTCTTGAACCATCCATAATGTGACTGACCAGGTCTAGAACCATCCATAATGTGACTGACCAGGTCTAGAACCATCCATAATGAGACTGACCAGGTCTAGAACCATCCATAATGTGACTGACCAAGTCTAGAACCATCCATAATGTGACTGACCAGGTCTAGAACCATCCATAATGTGACTGACCAGGTCTTGAACCATCCATAATGTGACTGACCAGGTCTAGAACCATCCATAATGTGACTGACCAGGTCTAGAACCATCCATAATGAGACTGACCAGGTCTAGAACCATCCATAATGTGACTGACCAGGTCTAGAACCATCCATAATGTGACAGACCAGGTCTAGAACCATCCATACTGTGACTGACCAGGTCTAGAACCATCCATAATGTGACTGGCCAGGTCTAGAACCATCCATAATGTGACTGACCAGGTCTAGAACCATCCATAATGTGACTGACCAGGTCTAGAACCATCCATAATGAGACTGACCAGGTCTAGAACCATCCATAATGAGACTGACCAGGTATAGAACCATCCATAATGTGACTGACCAGGTTTAGAACCATCCATAATGAGACTGACCAGGTCTAGAACCATCCATAATGAGACTGACCAGGTCTAGAACCATCCATAATGAGACTGACCAGGTTTAGAACCATCCATAATGTGACAGACCAGGTCTAGAACCATCCATAATGAGACTGACCAGGTATAGAACCATCCATAATGTGACTGACCAGGTATTGAACCATGAGTCAGCAGGATGTCTGGTTGTTGAGGTAAGGAGTCAGTAGGAGAGTCAGGATGTCTGGTTGTTGAGGTAAGGAGTCAGTAGGAGAGTCAGGATGTCTGGTTGTTGAGGTAAGGAGTCAGTAGGAGAGGAGAGTCAGGATGTCTGGTTAATGAGGTAAGGAGTCAGTAGGAGAGGAGAGTCAGGATGTCTGGTTGTTGAGGTAAGGAGTCAGTAGGAGAGTAAGGATGTCTGGTTGTTGAGGTAAGGAGTCAGTAGGAGAGTCAGGATGTCTGGTTGTTGAGGTAAGGAGTCAGTAGGAGAGTCAGGATGTCTGGTTGTTGAGGTAAGGAGTCAGTAGGAGAGGAGAGTCAGGATGTCTGGTTGTTGAGGTAAGGAGTCAGTAGGAGAGGAGAGTCAGGATGTCTGGTTGTTGAGGTAAGGAGTCAGTAGGAGAGGAGAGTCAGGATGTCTGGTTGTTGAGGTAAGGAGTCAGTAGGAGAGTCAGGATGTCTGGTTAATGAGGTAAGGAGTCAGTAGGAGAGGAGAGTCAGGATGTCTGGTTGTTGAGGTAAGGAGTCAGTAGGAGAGTCAGGATGTCTGGTTGTTGAGGTAAGGAGTCAGTCGGAGAGTCAGGATGTCTGGTTGTTGAGGAAAGGAGTCAGTAGGAGAGGAGAGTCAGGATGTCTGGTTGTTGAGGTAAGGAGTCAGTAGGAGAGTCAGGATGTCTGGTTGTTGAGGTAAGGAGTCAGTCGGAGAGTCAGGATGTCTGGTTGTTGAGGTAAGGAGTCAGTAGGAGAGGAGAGTCAGGATGTCTGGTTGTTGAGGTAAGGAGTCAGTAGGAGAGTCAGGATGTCTGGTTGTTGAGGTAAGGAGTCAGTCGGAGAGTCAGGATGTCTGGTTGTTGAGGAAAGGAGTCAGTAGGAGAGGAGAGTCAGGATGTCTGGTTGTTGAGGTAAGGAGTCAGTAGGAGAGGAGAGTCAGGATGTCTGGTTGTTGAGGTATGGAGTCAGTAGGAGAGGAGAGTCAGGATGTCTGGTTGTTGAGGTAAGGAGTCAGCAGGAGAGTAATGATGTCTGGTTGTTGAGGTAAGGAGTCAGTAGGAGAGTCAGGATGTCTGGTTGTTGAGGTAAGGAGTCAGTAGGAGAGTCAGGATGTCTGGTTGTTGAGGTAAGGAGTCAGTAGGAGAGGAGAGTCAGGATGTCTGGTTAATGAGGTAAGGATTCAGTAGGAGAGGAGAGTCAGGATGTCTGGTTGTTGAGGTAAGGAGTCAGTAGGAGAGGAGAGTCAGGATGTCTGGTTGTTTAGGTAAGGAGTCAGTAGGAGAGGAGAGTCAGGATGTCTGGTTGTTGAGGTAAGGAGTCAGTAGGAGAGTCAGGATGTCTGGTTGTTGAGGTAAGGAGTCAGTAGGAGAGTCAGGATGTCTGGTTGTTGAGGTAAGGAGTCAGTAGGAGAGGAGAGTCAGGATGTCTGGTTGTTGAGGTAAGGAGTCAGCAGGAGAGTAATGATGTCGTCTGGTTGTTGAGGTAAGGAGTCAGTAGGATAGGAGGTTAGGATGTCTGGTTGTTGAGGTAAGGAGTCAGTAGGAGAGTCAGGATGTCTGGAGTTGAGGTAAGGAGTCAGTAGGAGAGTCAGGTTGTCTGGTTGTTGAGGTAAGGAGTCAGTAGGAGAGTCAGGATGTCTGGTTGTTGAGGTAAGGAGTCAGTAGGAGAGTCAAGATGTCTAGTTGTTGAGGTAAGGAGTCAGTAGGAGAGTCAGGATGTCTGGTTGTTGAGGTAAGGAGTCAGTAGGAGAGGAGAGTCAGGATGTCTGGTTGTTGAGGTAAGGAGTCAGTAGGAGAGTCAGGATGTCTGGAGTTGAGGTAAGGAGTCAGTAGGAGAGTCAGGATGTCTGGTTGTTGAGGTAAGGAGTCAGTAGGAGAGGAGAGTCAGGATGTCTGGTTGTTGAGGTAAGGAGTCAGTAGGAGAGGAGAGTCAGGATGTCTGGTTGTTGAGGTAAGGAGTCAGTAGGAGAGTCAGGATGTCTGGTTGTTGAGGTAAGGAGTCAGTAGGAGAGGAGAGTCAGGATGTCTGGTTGTTGAGGTAAGGAGTCAGTAGGAGAGGAGAGTCAGGATGTCTGGTTGTTGAGGTAAGGAGTCAGTAGGAGAGGAGAGTCAGGATGTCTGGTTGTTGAGGTAAGGAGTCAGTAGGAGAGGAGAGTCAGGATGTCCTGGTTGTTGAGGTAAGGAGTCAGTAGGAGAGGAGAGTCAGGATGTCTGGTTGGTGAGGTAAGGAGTCAGTAGGAGAGGAGAGTCAGGATGTCTGGTTGTTGAGGTAAGGAGTCAGTAGGAGAGGAGAGTCAGGATGTCTGGTTGGTGAGGTAAGGAGTCAGTAGGAGAGTCAGGATGTCTGGTTGGTGAGGTAAGGAGTCAGTAGGAGAGGAGAGTCAGGATGTCTGGTTGTTGAGGTAAGGAGTCAGTAGGAGAGGAGAGTCAGGATGTCTGGTTGTTGAGGTAAGAAATCAGTAGGAGAGGAGAGTCAGGATGTCTGGTTGTTGAGGTAAGGAGTCAGTAGGAGAGGAGAGTCAGGATGTCTGGTTGTTGAGGTAAGGAGTCAGTAGGAGAGGAGAGTCAGGATGTCTGGTTGTTGAGGTAAGGAGTCAGTAGGAGAGGAGAGTCAGGATGTCTGGTTGTTGAGGTAAGGAGTCAGTAGGAGAGGAGAGTCAGGATGTCTGGTTGTTGAGGTAAGGAGTCAGTAGGAGAGGAGAGTCAGGATGTCTGGTTGTTGAGGTAAGGAGTCAGTAGGAGAGGAGAGTCAGGATGTCTGGTTGTTGAGGTAAGGAGTCAGTAGGAGAGGAGAGTCAGGATGTCTGGTTGTTGAGGTAAGGAGTCAGTAGGAGAGGAGAGTCAGGATGTCTGGTTGTTGAGGTAAGGAGTCAGCAGGAGAGTCAGGATGTCTGGTTGTTGAGGTAAGGAGTCAGTAGGAGAGGAGAGTCAGGATGTCTGGTTGTTAAGGTAAGGAGTCAGTAGGAGAGGAGAGTCAGGATGTCTGGTTGTTGAGGTAAAGGAGTCAGTAGGAGAGAGTCAGGATGTCTGGTTGTTGAGGTAAGTGAGTCAGTAGGAGAGAAAGTCAGGATGTCTGGTTGTTGAGGTAAGGAGTCATTAGGAGAGGAGAGTCAGGATTCCTGGTTGTTGAGGTAAGGAGTCAGCAGGAGAGTCAGGAATGTCTGGTTGTTGATGGTAAGGAGTCAGTAGGAGAGGAGAGTCAGGATGTCTGGTTGTTAAGGTAAGGAGTCAGTAGAGAGGAGAGTCAGGATGTCTGGTTGTTGAGGTAAGGAGTCACAGGAGATCAGGATGTCTGGTTGTTGAGGTAAGGAGTCAGTAGGAGAGGAGAGTCAGGATGTCTGGTTGTTGAGGTAAGGAGTCAGCAGGAGAGTCAGGATGTCTGGTTGTTGAGGTAAGGAGTCAGTAGGAGAGGAGAGTCAGGATGTCTGGTTGTTAAGGTAAGGAGTCAGTAGGAGAGAGTCAGGATGTCTGGTTGTTGAGGTAAGGAGTCAGTAGGAGAGAGTCAGATTCTGGTTGTTGAGGTAAGGAGTCAGTAGTGAGGAGTCAGGATGTCTGGTTGTTGAGGTAAGGAGTCAGTAGGAGAGAAGAGTCAGGATGTCTGGTTGTTGAGGTAAGGAGTCGGTAGGAGAGGAGAGTCAGGATGTCTGGTTGTTGAGGTAAGGAGTCAGTAGGAGAGTCAGGATGTCTGGTTGTTGAGGTAAGGAGTCAGCAGGAGAGGAGAGTCAGGGGGTTGGTGACTCAGTAGAGCAGAGAGTCATCCTATCCACTCACAGAGGCCCTCCCCTCTCCTGTTACTGATGTCATGGTGTGTGTGTGTGTGTGTGTGTGTGTGTGTGTGTGTGTGTGTGTGTGTGTGTGTGTGTGTGTGTGTGTGTGTGTGTGTGTGTGTGTGTGTGTGTGTGTGTGTGTGTGTGTGTGTGGTGTGTGGTTGTGAAGTGTGTGTGTGTGCTCTCTGGAAACAAGATGTAATATGTTAGGGCAATCAATAAGTAAACTCTCCCTGGCAACCATCCAGCCGCATGGCAACACAAACCTCACACAACACATGAGAATAAAGGTGTTTACACCTCTCTCTCACACACACACACACACACACACACACACACACACACACACACACACACACCTCTCTCACACACACACACACACACCTCTCTCACACACACACACACACACACACACACACACACACACCACACACACACACACCTCTCTCACACACACACACACACACCTCTCTCTCACACACACACACACACACACACACACACACACACACCTCTCTCACACACACACACACACACCTCTCTCACACACACACACACACACACACACCTCACACACACACCTCACACACACACCTCTCACACACACACACACACACACACACCACACACACCTCTCTCACACACACACACACACACACACACACCTCACACACACACACACACACACCTCACACACACACCACACACACACACCGAGACAGTGTGTCTTACGGAGGGTTGTCAGCTATTCCGTGTCCTTCATACTGCAGCACCATGTCAGTCCCATAGATGTTGAACAGCTTATAGGGGTTCACTGAGACCAGGATACTACCTATATACGTCTGAGAGAGAGAGAGAGAGAGAACGAGAGAGGGAGAGAGAGAGAGAGAGAGAGAGAGAGAGAGATATCGATATAGAGATTGATAGAATAGAGCGGAGATCGATAGAAGATATATCGAGCATATCTTCTAGACTCTCTCTCTCTCTCTGCTTAGCTCTCGCTATCTCTATCTCTCTCTCTCTTCTCTCTCTCTCTATCTCTCTCTCTCTCTCTCGCTCTCTCTCTCTCTCTCCCTCTCTCTCTCTCAGCTCTCTCTCTCTCTCTCTCTCTCTCTCCTCTCTCTCTTCTCTCTCTCTCTCTCCTCTTCTCCCTCTCCCTCTCTCTCTCTCTCTCTCCTCTCTCTCCTCTCTCTCTCCTCTCTCTCTTTCTCTCTCTCTCTCGCCTCCTCTCTCTCTCTCTCTCTCTCTCTCTCTCTCTCTCTCTCTCCTTTCTCTCTCTTTTCTTCTCTCTCTTCTCTCTTTCTCTCTCCTCTCTCTCTGAGTCCCCCACAACTGTCTCACAACCGAGTAGTGGGTAACAGACAGTGACTATACTGAATGGATCAACTTCGACCAATGATATTCAGTTGTGTTCGACGAATGATGTTCAACTATAAGCTCATAGATGTTTAGCATGACAGTATGTGAGCATATGAGCTCATAGATGTTTAGCATGACAGTATGTGAGCATATGAGCTCATAGATGTTTAGCATGACAGTATGTGAGCATATGAGCTCATAGATGTTTAGCATGACAGTATGTGAGCATATGAGCCCATAGATGTTTAGCATGACAGTATGTGAGCATATGAGCTCATAGATGTTTAGCATGACAGTATGTGAGCATATGAGCCCATAGATGTTTAGCATGACAGTATGTGAGCATATGATTGAGCAACAACGTATGAGTTGAGTTCTTACATATACGAGATCCTGGTCGTACCGCTTCTTCAGGTTCATCAGCACTGTGGTCTCATTCAGCTCACTGCAAACACACAGGAAGTAGTCACAGACACACAGGAAGTAGTTACAGACACACAGGAAACAGTCACTGGCACACCGGAAGTAGACACTGACACGCCGGAAGAAGTTTACTGACACACCGGAAACAGTGACTGGCACACATGAAGTAGTCACTGACACACAGGAAGTGGTCACTGACACACAGGAAGTAGTCACTGACACACATAAAGTAGTCACTGACACACATAAAGTAGTTACTGACACACAGGAAGTGGTCACTGACACACAGGAAGTAGTTACTGACACACAGGAAGTAGTCATAGACACACAGGAAACAGTGACTGGCACACATAAAGTAGTCACTGACACACAGGAAGTGGTCACTGACACACAGGAAGTAGTTACAGACACACAGGAAGTAGTCATAGACACACAGGAAACAGTGACTGGCGCACATAAAGTAGTCACTGACACACAGGAAGTAGTTACTGACACACAGGAAACAGGAAGTAGCGTTCTTACTCCATCTGCGTCATGTCTTCCATGCCGTACGCCCAAGGCTTCACCCTGTGACCCGCCGTAGGCATTCTCCTGATGGAGTACATCTACACACACACATTCTGCATTACTGACAGTACTGATAACACTATGAATTACAATATATTCTTCCTTTATGAAAACACACATTCTGCATTACTGACATTACTGATAACACTATGAATTACAATATATTCTTCCTTTATGAACCACACATTCTGCATTACTGACAGTACTGATAACACTATGAATTACAATATATTCTTCCTCTATGAAAACACACATTCTGCATTACTGACAGTACTGATAACGCTATGAATTACAATATATTCTTCCTTTATGAAAACATGCATTACTGACAATACTGATAACACTATGAATTACAATATATTCTTCCTTTATGAAAACACACATTCTACATTACTGACAGTACTGATAACGCTATGAATTACAATATATTCTTCCTGTATGAAAACACCCATTCTGCATTACTGACAATACTGATAACACTATGAATTACAATATATTCTTCCTCTATGAAAACACACATTCTGCATTACTGACAATACTGATAACGCTATGAATTACAATATATTCTTCCTTTATGAAAAGACACATTCTGCATTACTGACAGTACTGATAACGCTATGAATTACAATATATTCTTCCTTTATGAAAACACACATTCTGCATTACTGACAATACTGATAACACTATGAATTACAATATATTCTTCCTTTATGAAAACACACATTCTGCATTACTGACAGTACTGATAACGCTATGAATTACAATATATTCTTCCATTATGAAAAAACACATTCTACATTACTGACAGTACTGATAACACTATGAATTACAATATATTCTTCCTTTATGAAAACACACATTCTGCATTACTGACAGTACTGATAACGCTATGAATTACAATATATTCTTCCATTATGAAAAAACACATTCTACATTACTGACAGTACTGATAACACTATGAATTACAATATATTCTTCCTTTATGAAAACACACATTCTGCATTACTGACAGTACTGATAACGGGTGGTTTCATTTTGCCAGCAGGGGGTATTGTTTGGCCCACGGGTGGTTTCATTTTGCCAGCAGGGGGTATTATTTGGCCCACGGGTGGTTTCATTTTGCCATCAGGGGGTATTATTTGGCCCACGGGTGGTTTCATTTTGCCAGCAGGGGGTATTATTTGGCCCACGGGTGGTTTCATTTTGCCAGCAGGGGGTATTATTTGGCCCACGGGTGGTTTCATTTTGCCAGTGGGGGGTATCATTTGGCCCGCGGGTGGTTTCTTTTGGCCCCCAAAGTTTTCAACAACAAAAACAACTTTTTACAAGACTGTAAAAGCACCAGGGAATCAGCACCAAGTTTTAATTGAAGAAATCGGTTCCCAGGTATTCAAATCAAATCAAATTGTATTTGCCACATGCGCCGAATACAACAGGTGTAGACATTACCGTGAAATGCTTACTTACAGCCCTTAACCAACAGTGCATTTATTTTTTAAATAAAAAAGTAAAATAAAACAACAACAACAAAAAAGTGTTGAGAAGAAAAGAAAAGAAGTTAAATAAAATAACAGTAGGGAGGCTATATACAGGGGGGGTACCGGTACTGAGTCAATGTGCGGGGGCACCGGCTAGTTGAGGTAGTTGAGGTAATATGTACATGTGGGTAGAGTTAAAGTGACTATGCATAAATAATTAACAGAGTAGCAGCAGTGTAAAAAGATGGGGTGGGGGTGGGGGGGCAGGGCAAATAGTCAGGGTAGCCATGATTAGCTGTTCAGGAGTCTTATGGCTTGGGGGTAGAAGCTGTTGAGAAGCCTTTTGGACCTAGACTTGGCGCTCCGGTACCGCTTGCCGTGTGGTAGCAGAGAGAACAGTCTATGACTAGGGTGGCTGGAGTCTTTGACAATTTTGAGGGCCTTCCTCTGACACCGCCTGGTATAGAGGTCCTGGATGGCCGGAAGCTTGGACCCAGTGATGTACTGGGCCGTACGCACTACCCTCTGTAGTGCCTTGCGGTCGAAGGCCGAGCAGTTGCCATACCAGACGGTGATGCAACCAGTCAGGATGCTCTCGATGGTGCAGCTGTATAACTTTTTGAGGATCTGAGGACCCATGCCAAATCTTTTCAGTCTCCTGAGGGGGAATAGGCTTTGTTGTGCCCTCTTCACGACTGTCTTGGTGTGTTTGGACCATGATAGTTTGTTGGTGATGTGGACACAAAGGAACTTGAAGCTCTCAACCTGTTCCACTACAGCTCCGTCGATGAGAATGGGGGCGTGCTCAGTCCTCTTTTTTGTCCTATAGTCCACAATCATCTCCTTTGTCTTGGTCACATTGAGGGAGAGGTTGTTATCCTGGCACCACGTGGCCAGGTCTCTGACCTCCTCCCTATAGGCTGTCTCAATGTTGTTGGTGATCAAGCCTACCACTGTGTGACGTCGGCAAACTTAATGATGGTGTTGTAGTCGTGCCTGGCCATGCAGTCATGGGTGAACAGGGAGTACAGGAGGGGACTGAGCACGCATCCCTGAGGGGCCCCAGTGTTGAGGATCAGCGTGGCAGATGTGTTGTTACCTACCCTTACCACCTGGGGGCGGCCCGTCAGGAAGTCCAGGATCCAGTTGCAGAGGGAGGTGTTTAGTCCCAGGATCCTTAGCTTAGTGATGAGCTTTGAGGGCACTATGGTGTTGAACACTGAGCTGTAGTCAATGAATAGCATTCTCACATAGGTGTTCCTCTTGTCCAGATGGGTAAGGGCAGTGTGGAGTGCAATAGAGATTGCATCATCTGTGGATCTGTTGGGGTGGTATGCTAATTGGAGTGGGTCTAGGTTTCTGGGATAATGGTGTTGATGTGAGCCATGACCAGCCTTTCAAAGCACTTCATGGCTACAGACATCAGTGCTATGGGTCGGTAGTCATTTAGGCAGGTTATCTTAGTGTCCTTGGGCACGGGGACTATGGTGGTCTGCTTGAAACATGTTGGTATTACAGACTCAGTCAGGGACATGTTGACGATGTCAGTGAAGACACTTGCCAGTTGGTCAGCACATGCTCGGAGTACACGTCCTGGTAATCCATCTGGCCCTGCGGCCTTGTGAATGTTGACCTGTTTAAAAGTCTTACTCACATCGGCTACGGAGAGCGTGATCACATAGTCATCCGGAACAGCTGGTGCTCTCATGCATGCTTCAGTGTTGCTTGCCTCGAAGCGAGCATAGAAGTGGTTTAGCTCGTCTGAAAGTCTTGTGTCACTGGGCAGCTCGCGGCTGTGCTTCCCTTTGAAGTCTGTAATAGTTTTCAAGCCCTGCCACATCCGACGAGCATCAGAGCTGGTGTAGTACAATTCAATCTTAGTCCTGTATTGACTCTTTACCTGTTTGATGGTTCGTCGGAGGGCATAGCGGAATTTCTTATAAGCATCCGGGTTACAGTCCCGCTCCTTAAAAGCAGCAGCTCTACCCTTTAGCTCAGTGCGAATGATGCCTGTAATCCATGGTTTCTGGTTGGGGTACGTACGGTCACTGTGGGGACGACGTTATCGATGCACTTATTGATGAAGCCAGTGACTGATGTGGTGTACTCCTCAATGCTATCTGAAGAATCCCGGAACATGTTCCAGTCTGTGCTAGCAAAACAGTCCTGTAGTTTAGCATCTGCGTCATCTGACCACTTTTTTATTAGCCGAGTCACTGGTGCTTCCTGCTTTAGTATTAGCTTATAAGCAGGAATCAGGAGGATAGAGTTATGGTCAGATTTGCCAAATGGAGGGCGAGGGAGAGCTTTGTATGCGCATCTGTGTAGAGAGACACGTGATCGTATACAAGGTTTGAAATGATAATGTTTTAGTCAAACATCATATCTGGGCTTCTTGCAGTCAATTTGCAGTCTACAAATTATTTGTAATTATGTTCCAACCCCCCGACAAAAAATCTAGTTGATGATCCCTGGTCTATGGGCTCTTGTCAAAAGCAATGCACTATATAGGGAACGGGTGACATTTGGGACAGCCAGGAACAGACAGGCTCTGGTGAAAGGTACATCTCCTCTCTCTAGTTAACCATGGAGCCCTGTTCATCAGACCAGACAGGATCAGGTGAAAGGTACATCTCCTCTCTCTAGTTAACCATGGAGCCCTGTTCATCAGACCAGACAGGATCAGGTGAAAGGTACATCTCCTCTCTCTAGTTAACCATGGAGCCCTGTTCATCAGACCAGACAGGCTCAGGTGAAAGGTACATCTCCTCTCTCTGTTCATTCACCGATGTCTCACTTCCACATCTGCTGTGAAAGGTTGCAGAGCTAGAGCGGTGTTTGTCAGACCGTGAGACATCCCGAAAAATCGGTCTTCTCACAAAAACATCCGTAGTGTCCGAACGGTTTGACCTACAAGTGTCAGGGGACTCGTCTGAAGTCGGTTTCAGTCGATGTGCCAACATCTGTTTGTAGCGTCTGAAACGTTTGGGCTATAAACGAACGTGACCCCACTGTGGAAAGGGGAGATTCTCATGAACATGATAGCGTTCTCCGTTTTGCTCTATGACCCCAACAAGTGTCAGGGGACTCGTCTGAAGGTAACCTGTACCAGTTTGATAAATGAATGGAAGTATGAAGGTGGTTTTGTGCCTACCAAAAAAGGGGTTAAATACGTGTACAACATTTCCTGAGCTTTCTCATATCTCCTATATATAGGACAAACACTTCAAAACCTTATTTCTTATGATAAATAGTTTTACTGTCTTTTTTGCCATTTATGAATGTGTTATTCAATGCGTTTCTCTAGGCTATAGCAGTAAAGGCCAAATTCAATACTTTATCAAATACTTTTTATATATATATATATATCTTTTTTTTATACCTAAAGGGGTCCTAAAATTCAAAATCAAATAGATAAATGATCCGTAGTTTGACCATCTTAACATGTCAGCTTAGAACCCCCCCCCTCACTCCCCCAACGGCTTAGACTTTTAAGAATGAAGGTTAAAATGTTGAGTAGAGGTTGTCCTACCTTCTCGTAC